GGGCGGGTGGGGACAACGAGCCTGGGAGGCAGGGGAGATAGACATGGGAGAGGGCTGAGGAGACACAGCCTGGGGAAGACACAGGACTGGACTGGGCTGATATCCAGAAGCCTAAGGTGGGGCATGAGAGAAAGGGAGGACTCTCAGGCAGAGGGCCACTGCTAGCAGGGGTTACACCCAAGCTAAGTAGGCTAAAGGGAGGCAGGGAGACCAGGGCCTAGGCAGCAGCTTAGCAAGCTGCCGACATTCTTTCCTGTCTGCAGGCCCTGACCTCCTGGCACCTCCACCTCTTCCCCCTTAAGGTCCCAGCCAAGGTGAGCTGGGCTGGGGACTGGGAGCACCCAGCGTGCTTCCTCCTGGGCCTGGCTACCCAAGCCTTTAGCATGAGCTGAGCCATCCCTGCGCCCTCCCAGGTGGAGAGCTCCTTCAATGTCCTGGAGATACGCGCCTTCAACACGCTCAGCCAGAACCAGGTAAGCACCAGGGCTTGGGGCCCCATGAGTGGACCAGCCAGAGGAGGAGTCGGTGTCTAAGGCCCTGCCACTCCTTCGCCCCCAGATCCTGGTGGAGACGGAGCGTGGCATGGTGAGCATGCGCCTGCCCTCCGTGGACCAGGCGACCGGACATGTGAGCTCCGCCCTCTCCAAGGTCTGCCCTGGCCCTGGGTGAGTGGCAAAGGAGGAGCCTCACAAGGGGTTAGACAATAGGGAGACTTGTCCCTCCCTCCCTTCTTCCTCTGGACCTGGGCTCCTGGGACACCAAGAAGAAAGCGCTCATGTCTCCACTTCTCTGTTTTCCTGGGGATCCAGAAGTTGTAAGAGGGGAAGCATTGACAGAGCCTCTTTCCACCCCTCTCTGGGATGAACTTGTCCATCTTTCAGGTGTCTAATCCGGCGTGGAAATGCAGACACCCCAGAGGGGCCCCAAGATACATCCCCCAACTCTGAGACTTCCACATCTACTACTCAAAGCATCTGCGGTGAGCAGGGGCAGACTTGAGGAAACTGGACCTAAACCACCCTGGCCCATGTCCAGAGCCCTCTGTGCCTACCCTGAGGACCCCGTGAGCTTTCAGAGGTTCATGGTGTAGCAGGAACACAGGCACTGGCGCAGGCAAAAAATGACCTTGACCTTTCCTTGAACCCCAAGCCTATTCCCCACCTCCTTCCTTTTCATGGACCTGGCCCATCCCCTGCGTCACAGGTAGATTCTCCGAGACCTACGCCGCCTCAGTGACTACAATGGGCTGCACCGCCGTGAGAAGGTGCAATGGGGGCATTGGGCAGGGGGTGCCACCAGGCGGGCAGGTGGGACCCAGAGGGAGGGGACAGAGGAGGAGGAGGGGGGCAGGTATGAGCCAGCTCCACCTCTCCAAGGATGTGGACACCATCTACCATGCAGAGGATAACCAGGAGTTCAATCTTTTGGATTTCAGCCACCTGGAGAGCCGGTAAGCAGATGGGCAGAGACTCAACCCCAAACTCCCAGTCTCAGCCCCACCCCTGGCCCTTCCAGGATCTCTCTTGTGGTCCCACCCATAGCCCCAGCTCTACCTCCCCAATGCCACAGCCCGCTGCCACCTACCCATCGATTCTTTCCCCAGCCCAACCACCCCAGCCCATTGCTGCCCAGCCACCTGCTCACCACTTGCCTGCCCCCTTCGATTTCTCCACAGGGACTTGGCCCTATGGTGGCAGCCCTGGCCTACAACCAGTGGCTCACCAAACTCTCCTGCAAGGACCTGCGGCTGGTAGGGACCAGGAGGGGCCAGGGTGGTGGGGTAGAAAGTAGTGCCCTTCATGGCTCCTAACTGCAGGTCCCCCTCTGTCCTCAGGGCTCTGAAGTGCTAGAACAGGTGCTACATACCCTGAGCAAGTCCGGGAGCCTCGAAGAGCTGGCCCTGGACAACGCCGGGCTTGAGACATGAGGCCAGCCTCCTCTTTGGGCAGTGGTGCCCCCTTTGTTGTTTTAGGGTTTCAGAACTTCAGTGTAAGATGAGCCTCTGGACTATCTCATTCAGCTCCTCGTTTTACAGAACAGGAGACTGAAGCCCAAAGAGGGCACACAGCAAGTCAGTGGTCAAGCTAGTACTAAAACCTAAGGCTCCCGACTCCACCTCCATGGCCTTGTCCCGGTATACGCCATGTCCCCTGCCCCATCCCTTTTTCCATCAACTACCGAACAGAGTGGGCTGCTCCCATCTTGAGGACTTGAAGCTGGACTTTGTCTCAGCACAGCTTCCCAAGCAGCGGGACATCCCCAGGTACTCTGGAGTGGTGACAAGCTCGTTGGCAGGACCCTAGCTGCTCCCCACCTGTCGGGGTCTCTGACCAGTACAGCTCCAGGCAGGCAGGAGGTGGAGGAGGAGGGGAAACCAGGGGCTGGAACCTGGGGCCCAGCTCAGGCCAAATCCTTCCTACCCTTCCCTAAAGGGACTTTGTCCAGAAGCTGGCTAGGGTGTTTGGGGGAGAACGGAAGCTGTGTGCTGCACACCCTTACTCCAACCCACGATCCC